AAACGAGGTCGAACCAAGACTATAAAGCTAAATGAGAATGCGACCAAACAGAAGGCCACACTATCTTGGACTTCATATCTACGATATAAAAATTCATTAGCAAAATATTAGATGGTATAAAAGTTGCTATGGCTTTAGTTAAAAGAGGGGTTCAAAAAGGGTAAGTTCAAATTCGAGGTCTCATATAGTGACAAATTTGAATAGTTACAAGATAATAAATAAACCATATCAACTTACCGAAAAATAAAGACTAAAGACACCATAAACAATAATGAAGATGTTTGCATCAGTAAGCTTCTTTAGACAATAGTACATTCCAACTAAAACGTGCGTTATTTCAATAATGCATTTACCTGGAAACATCACAGTTAAAATATGAAGATCAAAATAGTATGAACCCCAAGCTGTGGGTTGATGTTCTGAAACCGATGCAATGATTGGAATATGGTTCTTAGCATAACTTGGGTCGAGTAACGAATAAAAGCGACCAGTCCAGGGGACAATTTTACCTTGAATACAAAAAAACAAGATTAAATAGATCGAGGAAGATAGGACTATTCATAAAAGTTGTTTAAATATTCTAGACAAATTTGTGTAACATACCTGAAAAAGTCAATATCAAAGCAGAAGCGCCAAATAAAATTCCAACGGTTGTAAGGACAAAGCGGATTAAGATACCAAATTGCTCTTTATTGAGCTTCGTGTACAAATATTCAAAAAAAGCATAAAGTTGGCAGAGACCAAATACCCCTAACGCCTTTATGAAAGCCTGTTAAAAATTAAGATGACTTACGCCCATGTGTTCACTTGAAATGACGGGCAAAAATCCAACAAAACTAATCTGCATAGAGAAAATTGTGCCTAGACAATATAGCTACAAGATAAAATTGGTAAAACGCATACTGTGGAGTATGCCGAATATATCCGATGGTTAAATCTGCCAGTCAAAATTAAGACGAGAACGTGTATAGGAATGATATTAATTAGAAACACATAGCCACCCCAAGATGAGACCTGAAATGATGGAAAATAAAAGACAAACCATGTAGAAATAAGCCAAGCTACACAAAACGCCCCAAAAAATAGAGCCTGTCTTAATCGATTTAATCCAACAGTAAAATGTTAATATCATGCAGAATATCGCGATCCCTTCATTATCATAAGACCCAGCAACGGATCGACTAATATATCCTGGAACGATGGAGACCATGCATGCTGCAATGAGACCTGACTCAACATTATTCACTTCACTTGTAAGGAGGTAGGTAGCTATGGTTGTGAGACTGTAGCCAGTTAAAAAAAAGAAAATCTTACCTAGAAAACAAGGGCGCAAGGAAAACACAAATGTTTCTTATATCAACAGTAAAGTTAAATAGGTGCAGGACTTTGTATAGCAAAGTGGAAGTC